GAGGGGGGGTTCAAGCGGGGTCTGCAAGCCAAGGTTTCCTAATATAGTTCCCCCCCCCCCCCCCCCACACCACAACTCCCTAAGGCTCCTAGGCTTTCCTAAGGTTTTAGGGTTTAGGGTTTAGGTTTAGGGTTTAGGGTTAAGGTTCCCTAGGGTACCTACCCAACCCCCCCCCCCCCCCCTGAACTCCCTCGCTTTAGAACCCCTAAACCCTAAAGCCTAAAGCCTAAACCCTGAACCCTAAAGCCTAAAGCCTAAAGCCTAAAGCTTAAAGCCTAAAGCCTAAAGCCTATGGGGTAGGATCCCAAAATTCGAAGAATGTGGGGGGGGGGGCTTTCGGGACGCAGGAAGAAGTAGAGTAAAACTGCTGAATGAAAAATCCAAGAACTAAGCCCTAAATCCTAAACCCTAAACCCTCAACCCTAGCTCCCAGTTTTAGGGTTTAGGGTTTAAGGTTTAGGGTTTAGGGTTTAGGGTTTAGGGCGCCTAAGCCCAAACCCTAAACTTGCAATCTGCAAGCCCAGATCTGAAGGTGGATGTTCAGCTGGATGCTTCTGCGCGATCTCGGCTCCACAGTAGAGACCCGCCTTCTAAGCCACCCTTTTGTTCCAGGGTTCAGGGTTTCGGGTTTAGGGTATAGGGTTTAGGGGTTAAACCTTGAGGCCAGCGGTGTGGTTGCCTTTAGCCGCAGCGACCCGGAGCAACCCTCCCTCCAACCACCCTCTGACAGCTTCACACCAACCCAGCCACTGCTCGGAAGCCCTGCGGTCTCCTTTTGCGCTGTTGGGATTAGAGGGTGTAGGGCTCCGGAAAGAAAAGGCAAGCTACCCGCATAACAAATATGCTTGCTGTGCTAGCTAGCTGGAGATTCAGATCCCCTCCCGCCCTCTGACCGTCGCCCCCCATGGCGCTCTCCGGGCAATTCGCCAACGCTGCCGCGAATGCGCTGGGCTCGGGGCCGTCCCAGACGCTAAACCCGAAGCCCTTCCTTTGGTGTTCAGGGCTCAATTGGGGCCTCTTTTACTTTTAGGGTTTAGCTGTTGGGGCCGAGGGTCCGGGCTTTAGGGTTCAACTGCGGTTGTAAGGGTTCACTTGTTGGGGTAAGGCGGTAAGGGTTTGGGTTTAGGATCATTCAGGGGGATAGTGTTTAGGTTTGGAGGACATTGCCATGAAGGTTAAATTCGGGTTGCAGTTGCCCTACTTCTGAAGACACAAGATATTGAGCTCCAGCCCGTGAGCGAAGTGAGCGAAACAAGTGAACGATGACACGGTTAATGTGGGCTTTTCGGAGATTCCGGAAGGTTAGACAGGCGGTTGGGGTCCCGAGGGAGGGTTCTTGGCGGTTATAACTTAGTGCGTGAGGAAGTGTCAATAAGCTTGGTGACTGCCCAAAAGACCCCGATATGAATATTACTATGAGGATCCTTAATGCGCCCGAACGCTTAAAACCCCCAATTATAATGGCAATATTGCACGGGTCTATGGGGGAGAGAGCGGTTAACCTTGGATCTACCATTAAGGTGTCTAGACGCTGGATTCATGGGCAAGACTGACAGGCGGGATGGATTCCAGGGTCTCAAGGTGTGACAGGGAGATTCCAAGGTGTTACACGGTCATAGCTGGGAAAGCCTAAAGCCTAAAGCCTAAAGCCTAAAGCCTACACCCTAAACCCTAAACCCTAAACCCTAAAGCCTAAAGCCTAAAGCCTAAACCCTAAACCCTAAACCCTAAACCCTAAACCCTAAACCCTAAACCCTAAACCCTAAACCCTAAACCCTAAACCCCTCTCTGGGTCTAGGATCTTTGTGCCGAGGCTGCGATGAGCAACGTCTCCAGCAACATCACGCAGGCGCGGAGAGGTTTAGGGTTTAGGGTTTAGGGTTTAGGGTTTAGGGTTTAGGGTTTGGGGTTTGGGGTTTAGGGTTTGAGGGTTCAGGGGGTTTGGGGATCACGGCAGGGCTTAGGTTTCAGGGTTTAGGGTTTGGGGTTTAGGATTTAGGGTTTAGGGTTTAGGGTTTAGGGTTTAGGGTTTGGGGTTTGGGGTTTAGGATTCGGGGTTTAGGTTTCGGGGTCTTAGAGTTCAGAGTCTAAAGTGTCGGTCAGGGCGCGCTGTGCCGCTATGCCCCCTTTCAATAGCACCTTGCCCTCCAACTCTAAGCGGGTTTAGGGTTTAGGGTTTAGGGGTTAGGGTTTAGGGTTTAGGGTTTAGGGTTTAGGGTCAACACATCCTAACTCCTCTGCCTGCAGGTCGTTGGAAACCTTGCGCCTAAACCCCATAAGTCCTTAACCCACAACCCTCCCTTCAACCGGAGGACCAAGTAGCTTAAGCCCCACTCGATGAAAGTTCAGACCTAAACCCTAAACCCTAAACCCTAAGCCCTAAACCCTAAACCCTAAACCCTAGACCCTAAACCCTAGACCCTGACTCCCTGACTCCCTGACTCCCCGTTCTAAGTGGCGGCGTTCTGGGGCTCGGGTTTCGGGCTCGGGTAGCTGTCAAGAAGCTGCAAAGTTCCGTGGAGGATTTGGGGTTCAGCGTCCACTAGGGTGTAGGGTTTTGGGGGGGAAGTTCAGGGTTTTGGGTTTTAGGGTTTAGGTTTAGGGTTTAGGGTTTGGGGTTTGGGTTTTAGGGTTTTAGGGTTTTAGGGTTTTAGGGTTTTAGGGTTTTAGGGTTTTAGGGTTTTAGGGTTTTAGGGTTTTAGGGTTTTAGGGGTTTAGGGTGTTAGGGTTTTAGGGTTTTAGGGTTTTAGGGTTTTAGGGTTTTAGGGTTTTAGGGTTTTAGGGTTTTAGGGTTTTAGGGTTTTAGGGTTTTAGGGTTTTAGGGTTTTAGGGTTTTAGGGTTTTAGGGTTTTAGGGTTTTAGGGTTTTAGGGTTTTAGGGTTTAGGTTCAGGGTTTAGGGTTTAGGGTTCAGGGTGCTGGGTTTTAGGGTTTAGGGTTTAGGGTTTGGGGTTTGGGGTTGAGGGGCTCTGGCTGCAGCCTGAACGAAAAGCAGGCCATTGGAAAGCCCCTCGAAGGCCTGACTAGCTTGCGCGGCACTCAATTTCGGGCTTAGGGTTTAAGGTTTAGGGGTTTTGGGTTTTGGGTTTAGGGTTAGGGTCGGGACTTGGGCTAGAGTTGGGGCTTTAGGGATTCGGGCCTAGGTTAGGATTCAAGGGTTTGCGGGTTTAGGGGGGCTTAGGGTTTCAAAGGGTTTAATTAGGGTCTCGGGTTGGGGTTCAAAGTATAGGGTTTAGGATTTAGGGTTTAGGGTTTATAGGGTTTAGGGTTTAGGGCTAGGGTTTAGGGCTAGGGTTTAGGGCTAGGGTAGGGTTGAGGAGGGCCCAAGAAACCCTGAGTCGGTCCTTCCCCAAGAGGTAGCCAAGGACCAGGTGCCTCCCTTGCGTTTGAACAACAATTGGGGTTTAAGGTTTAGGGTTTAGGTTTAAGGTTTAGGGTTTAGGATTTAGGGTTTAGGGTTTAGGGTTTAAACCCTAAACCGCCCTAAACCCTAAACCCTAATTCCTCAACTGTTCTTGAAATGCCATACCCTGAAGCCGAAACCTTAGGGTTTAGGGCTTAGGGCTTAGGGCTTCGGGTTTAGCCCTTAAACCAAGAACCTAAGCCCAAACCCTGCACACCCTAAACCCTAATTCGCCGCGGATCTTTAACGATTGCTTGCCGAGATTGGCTTGTTTCCGTCGTTGATTGAGCCAACTTTGTACAAGGGCTATTGGGGTGGGTTTCGGGTTTAGGGTTTAGGGTTTAGGGTTTAAGGGCTTAGGGTTTGGGGTCTCAAATTAAGGGCCCATGCTTCAGACCCCAGACAGACAGGAGTTGGGGCTCCCTAAGCCCTAAATTTAAGAGCCTCCGGCTCAAGCCGCCGACCCCGCAGGAGAACAAGTTTAAGGTTTGGGGTTTTGCGGTTCCTGTTGGGGGGGGGGGGGCGGGGGGGGGCCGGGGGGGGTGGGGTGGGGTGGGGGTGGGGGGGGGGGTGGGCGGAGGGCCGGGGCAAGGGGGGTAGGGGGGGGGGGGGGGGGGGTGGGGGTGGGCGGGTCGGGTGGGGGGGGTAAGGCGGGGGGGGAGGGGGGGGGGGTAGGGAAAGGGTTTTTTTCCAAAAGAGCCCCTAAAACGCCTGTGGTCCATGAGTTTTACGCGGTGTGGGTGGCCTGTTCCTCCACGACAAAGCTGGCGGACCCTTTACCCTTGTGGAAAGACCATGGCTGGAGATGATGTAAACGCTCAGACTCTCCTTTTCAACCGCAGCAAGAACGAAATGTCTAGAGTATCTTCATAGCTCTGTATGATGGCCATGAATGATGTCTGCCTACGATTAGCCAAAAGCTCTTAAGGCTACGACTTTAAAAATCGTGTAAGGGCCTGGGGATGGAGATAACTGGCTATACAACCCTCCTAAAACCCCAAAGACCACAGCCTGAGCAGCTGATCGCAGTGGAATGTGCATGTCCTGGACAGATACAGATGGGGCAAGCACACTCCCCCTGGAGGAGCAGCCTCCACCTTCGCTTGCCGGGACACCCAACCAGCTATTTACAACCCACTATCAAGCCTTCGGCAGGCTCCTGTAACCCCTAGGTGTGGGAATCCGCGGGGTATCCTAACCTAAAGTATTATCAACCCTTGCTGCATGGGAAATGGCAATGCGTATCTGCATGAGGGCTCTCAGCAGACCACAGCGAAAGGAAAGGGATCTTAAGTAGTTAACGGACCCACAACGGCCTTGACCTAACAGTCCTCCCTACAACCCTATCCAAAGCACTAGGCCCCCGGGCCACCCACTATCCTAGCAGAAAATCTAAAGCAAGCCAAGACAGTTCAAGGGGATGGTTTAGCAACAGCTCGCCCATTAGCGAGGTGCCGTGGTGGCACTCTTCGGCGCCACAGCAGACAATTTTTATAGGTTTTTTTTTTTTTTGCGATTATGCAATTTTTACGGGTTTTGGATGATTATGCGGGTGTTTATGGGTGTTCAAGGTATGCCATTTTCATGGGCTTACTTAGCTCAATCCACCTCGTGAAGGTCCTGGAGCCAATTCCCCATGAACCAGTGGTACATGTCCTGCCGCCTCTCTGAGAATTGCTCCCAGTCAAAGCCATAGCCACTGTGGTACAGCACAAGCGCAGCCCGGACAACAGTTTCATCATCGCCCTCGAACTCAGCTCTTGGTTCCTGTAGCCGGTTTGGTGCAAACAGATGCTCGTAGCCCAAAACGTGAAGCTCGTGACGCGTTTCCTCAGACAGCTGGTCCAGATCGAAGTCATAGCCCCGAAGCACCACTGACAGCACGGCCTGTGCTATCGGGTACCCGAAAGCCTCAGCTTCGAGCCTCCAGACCTCCTCATTTATCATGTGAGGCGGTCCTACGATGCCAACATCATCTACATACCGGACAAGCTCACCGCCTGGATCTGCTCTCCTCCCATGCTGCGTCCAATACCTCAATGCCTCATGGAGTGCTTCTAACTCTGATGGGCTGAGGGGTTCATAGACCTCTGCTGTCATCATTCCTCCATTGGCCTCGTACCTTTCAAAAGCTTCAAGGACTGCATCAGGGTTGTAATCATCTTCGTCACGGAACCGCGCATGAATTTCTGCCAACTCCAACAAGAAGTCTCCGCGGGCAGAGTCATATGACCAACTGGAATCTGGCTCGTCATCCAGCGGGGCAGGAACACGGACTTGGGTGTTATCATAAGCTGTTGCAACTGCAAACCTCATGCCTCGGGTCAACTCCCTGAGAAGCATGACCTGCACAGCATCGGGCCCAATCATGCGAAACACAAGGCCACCGGCGGCAAACAAGATGACACGCAAGCGACTCAGCGGATCATTCAATGTTGGCTCCTGTTCCTGATCCGGCTCACCGACATCGGAGTTCACTTCGCTCTCAGGCTCGCCCTCTGCAGGCCGGTTGTCCCGGAGGACAAGTGGAAGAGGTCGGTCAAGGTCCTCACGCTGCATGGTTTCTAAGTGAGCTTCGAGTTGCGCCTCATTGGCCAAAGCTCTCAACAACCTTACCCTAGCGGACCTTAGTTCACCTTTATACCATGAACACAAGTAACCCAAGACACCAACCATTACCATCAGAAACCCGATTATTAGGCGGTGCAGCAGAAGGCTGGACTGTAGCCAGAGGAACCAGGAGTCCTCAGCTACGCTCACGCTTTCATCCGATGCTCGGGCAGACTGAACACAGCTGACGAAAACCAGCAGTCGCACTGCTGTAGAGGAAGGGCCGGCAATGCTACTGGAACCCGGGTTGTCACTTACTTTCTGGTTAGGGGTTCCTTTTTTCTTTGGGGCGGACTTAGTCACTTTAGATAAGGTGGGTATCCCTCCTACTCCTACCATTTCCAACAGGCTGGCCAACTTAGGGAACATCATCGGCTTAGTCAAGACGTCTGCGGGCATAAATTTTCCAGGTATGTGGTGGGGCCTTATTAGGTCTTCTTCAATTAACTCGTGGTAGTATCGGCATCTTAGCCTTAGGTGTCGGGTTCTCCACGCTCCGGCGGGGTAAAGGAGGACACTTTGGCACGATACACTATCCCCATACACGAACCAAGTGGTTACTTTGCCTAACATCTCGTCGACCAAAGGTTTAAGTGCTTGGGTGAAAGACATACCATCGACTGCAGCTACGAGCTCACTTTCCGCTGTGCTAAGCGTGATGAACCCTTGAGTGAGGGTGATCCACCCCAACGGGGATCCGTTGAGGGTGATCACCACACCGCTCTGCGACCTCCCATCTTGCTGACCGAAAGACGCATCGGCAAAGGTGCACAAGTCCAGCTCGCTGGGCCTTTTCACTAAGGCCTCGACAAAGTCAGCAGGGAAAGGGACATTGGGACCATACTGAAGAACCACGTCAACAGTGAAGAGCAGATATCGGATCAGTTGGCGTCCCGCCTCGCACACATACCGAGGGTATTTTAGCACAAGTTTGCTAAGGCGATTCACTGGAAAGGCAATGTCCATTCTAGAGCGGTTTGCAATCCAAGTGAGCTCTCCCACTATCTTCTGTCCCTGTCGGATGTCAGAGATCTCCACAGTTTCAGGTTCGGGATCAAGTCTCAAATCCGGGAGATTAGGGGAGGGCGTTAAATTGGGATATCTATTGGCCAAGTCGTTAATGTAGTCAGGCTGACCCACACAGATGCATCCGTCCCGTTTCCAGATTTGCAGGCCGCAAAACTTCAAACCTTTCTCTCCCGACGCGAACTCGGGTGCTGAGCATGTCCACAGGTTCTGAACCGCTTGCATAGCCTTCTTCAGCTCGGGGCCGCATGCCATGAAGAGAAGGTCATCAACGTAGACTCCTAAGGATCCTTTGATTTGCTGTTCTTTGGTATCCCAAATTAGCCACATAGATACATCTGACTTCGTTTGCAGAAATTTCATGGTGTGCCCACATGCCCCAACCCACTCCACAGACTTCAGTTTTTTATCCCTGTCAAGAGACCATGAATGCGGGGATTCTTGCAATCCGTAAAGCGCGCCGAAAACCCGCAACCAGGATTTAGGGGGGCATAACCCGGCAGCAATCATGGCTTGGGGCACTCGAACCACTACAACCTTCCGTTTTCCAGGAGCATCTGACCGGCCTGGCTGATAAGGAGCAGTCAAAAAGGCAGTTTTGACGTCAAGAGACCCGCAATCCCACCCATAAAGAGCCCCCACCCCCAATTGGGTCCTAAGAGATAAGGTGTCCATACCTGCTGAGTACAGATCCCTTCTATCCAAGGTGGGTGATCCTCTGTTTTTGGGCCGGTTAAGAAAGTCTCCGCAAGCTACCAGCCGAGCCTTCTTCTTTCGGGGCGGCTTAATGCTCGCAACAATTTTTCCCGGCACCCTTACAACTTCTAAGGTGGGATCAGACTCAAGTTGTCTAACCTCCTCTTCTGTGATGACCCCCGTTGCGCCATTCACCTCGGTCAGTGAAGTGAGCTCGGACCTTAGGGCTTCTATCCAGCCTTCGATGTCGGCCATCACCTCATTTATGGACACTATTTTGGTCTGAAGGAGCTGCTCTCCTTCGTCCACGCTTACTGCTCTCAAGTGAAGGTCGGAGTTTTGCTGGCCATCGTTCTCGGGGTCATAGTTTTCATATCCGGACAACCAATCAAGCAAGTTTTCAAGGGCCTGGACCTCCACATGAATCCGAGCCAGAAGTGTGGCAGCTGACTCAGCTAAGTCCGCACAGCCTGCCTGCACATCTTTTGCAAGAGCGGTCTCCTGATCTCTTAACGTGGCCAACGCAGATAATCTCAGACCTTCCAGCCTCACCCTTAATGCCTCCCGATGCTCCTCGGAACCTTCAGCATCTTCACACATATCGACATCTACAGGCTCTAGGTTCGGCAGAGGAAGTGCGTGATACCACCTGGGGCCATGTTTCTCCTCCTGCCCCCACACTAACCCGGACCCCCTTGCAGCACGCAAGCGAACATCGGAATCTGAAGGCATCGGCGCAACATCACCAGCTTTGGCAGGCTCAGGCTGCACACACACGGACGCAGGGGGTTGATATAGGGTTGAAGGCCCTAAACCGTTAGGGGCTAAAGAGGAGTTATACCGCGGCGATGGCTCTGCAGGATACTCCTGAGTCTCAGGCTCAGGGACGGGGGGACACCACCAGGGCCTCACACCAGCACATGCTGCCAGCGATGGCAAGGTCGCGCCAGTAACGTTCACAGCTGAAGAACAACCAGCCAACGCAGAATCTGCGTCAAGAGAATCAAGAGTAGACTCCCCCTGTTGACAGGCCCGAAGCCCCTCGTCAACACACACACTCGCATCATCACAAGGAAAGCCGACCGCACGCAAGGCATCACGCTGCGGAGTCGTTAGCCGAGCGGCTAGCACAGGCATGTAGGCAACCACCACCAAGCGGGGTTCCTCAGACTGGTAGGATGTAGTGGCATGCCAGCGCTTTGCGTCGAACACAGTGGGAACCCAGGGCTTTAAACCAAGAACCTGTCCGGCCTGCTCTTGCCCGTCAGGCAATGTGCACATTTGTATCGGGCCAACGACTATGTCACCGGGCGCAACCGACAGCCACAAGCGACCACCTTGCTTCGGGAGCATCAAGGGAATGAGGATATTTGGTGTGTTTTTTGCATTATGCATGTCTCGGTGAGGGACATGGCGGGCTTGCCATGACACGCTGACCGCAGAGAAGCACACTCCAGGCGTCAACTGTTTCACCAGGTTGGCCAGCAAGGCCGTGATGCCTGGGAAGCTTTCATGGTCACGCGTTAAACCCACTACTCCCCCGTAATGGTACACCCCTACAGTGCGGCTACAACCAGTGCTACTAGCTCGAATGCCCTCGGAGCGACTGCACCACTCTTTGAGCAACGCAGCAATATTGCTGCGGCAGCGGTAGTTCATGGGTTGGATTCCTATCTGCCCTGCAAGGTTGTCCAAATCATCGTCTGACACGACATGGTAACGCATGGCATACCCCATCAAGGACCTCGTAGACGCTTCAAGCGCTTCGCCCCTAAGGTCCTCAACTACAACCCCCAACTCACCGACAGTCGGGGCATTGGACTGTAGCAAGTGCACATGGCAGGTGTCATCTGCTTCAACATCAAGAGATCCGTCGGGCAAGACCTTGGGTGCCTCAGCTATTGGATTTGCAACTTCAGGCGGCACCTGAATTTCGGCCGCACCTTCAGGCGCCGGTCTGCCGACCACTGCCCCTGACGGGAGCACCACAGGCGCCGGCTCATCTGGGCCTTCTATGGTGGGCGGTTCAGGCTCCTCCTGGAAGTCGCGATACACTAAGGTGGTTGCATACAGACGATTTACCCCATTATCATCCACCCTTACTATGTACCCCTTACTTATATCTGTACTGGGCGCAACCAATCTTCCCTGAGTGGCCTTTGACCCCCACTTAGTGTCCCTCCAGGTACGCGACCGAAACTTGACAACAGCATAGAAGGGAACCAATGGTTTGGAGTCATGGCCAACTTTGAGAAGGGCTCTCCTCTGCAAACTGGCGCAAGCATACCGGGCAGCATGTGGCCACAGAGCTGGCGGAGCACCGGAGGATATCAGCAGGGCTCGAACCTGTGCCTTTATTGCCTTTACCAGCTGCTCAGCCTTCCCTATTCCTGCAGGCTGCTCGGGCATTGCAGTGGTCTTATATATTCCACGGTGTGCGGCCCAGTCACTCACACTTTTATGAGTCAAGGCCTGGGCATGGTCTGAATGAAGCCTGAACACAGGGAGGCCCCAGCTTCGCAGTTTCGCATAGAAGCGGTTCAGTGCACTTACGATAGCTTGGGGAGACTTGGTCGGCAGGATTTCAAGTAAGGGAATATTAAGGACCTTATATGATGGCTCTTTACATCCCGCAATAACCGTATCCCACTTCTTATTCTCCCCTTTTACCCTGGCCTCATCAATCCAGTCCACCCCGCGCCTATCAGGCTCTTCAGCTTCCTCCCAGACTCCCGCTCCCTCGCACTCCCCCGGTTCTGGCAAAGGGTTTTCCTCAGGCTCGTCAACCCACTCATCGGGGATGGGTGCTTCGACAGGTATGGATTCCGACTCCGGCTTCGCATCAGCCGGATACTGGAACATCGGGAAAGAGTAGTTGCCAACCAGAAAATACCTAGGGCGAGCGACATCTTGATCTTCCGAATCGGCCGTCCTATGAGGGCCCGAAACGTCAATGTTCAAGCCACAAACCCGGGACATCTTAAGGCGACGGTGAGGTCTGATATGGGCCATGGAGTCCACACATGCAGCACAGTCCGCCCGCCACGGGCGATGCCCTGCTAGGCAGTGCTTTCGAAACATCTCCTTGGATCTGGGCTTCAAAGACCGAAGGATACACGCATCATCCATCTCCCCCGGTTCCCACCCCAGTGCAAGAAGGTGCTGAAGCCTGGAGACCCGCAGCCTATCCTTGTCCTCACGATGCTTCAAACCCTGCTGCCACTCGGCCATGGCTTGGTGAACCACAGTGCAAAGGGACGTCGGCCACACTCGACGAGCTGGTTCCCCATCAGAGTGCTCCGATGGGATCCACGGTGCGTTTCTGGGGATTCGCACCTCTTCAAGGGCTTCCCACAAGTGACCACTGTTAGTCAAGACATGTGTTGGCCCAACGGACAGACCATCCAAGGCTCCAAGATCGAAAGAGACCAGCTTAAGGGACCATCGGGCGGACACCTTTTGTGCTCCAACATCCTGACACTGCTTGCTTTGTTCTGGTGACTTTAAGATGACAAGGGCTTGTTTGGTCTTAGCTGACCCGTGCCACACTCCTTGGAGGGCTACCTCGGTCAGCACAATACATCGTCTGAAGGCCAGATCACCCTCAGGCAGCTCCCCAACAACCCCCTCTATGAGACCCTCACGAGCCCACAGAAGAAGATACTGGTACAGCGCCTGATTCTCTAGCCCCTGGCCCGGCCTGTTGTCTACCCTCAAGATTTCCTGGGATCCCTTGAAGTTCCACTTTGGGTTTCCCGGGGCAAAGCACAGAACCACCTTCCCCCTGTTAATCCTTCTTCTCCGATGCCTGTTTAACCCGGTGTCCTGGCTGCCGTATCCCTCAGTTGGGATCAGTGGCGCATTCGACGAGGGCAAACCCCATAGGTCCAACGCCCAGTCCTCAAGATGCTCCAGGAACTCATCCTTCGGCATACGCAACCAGTCAGCGGGGTCTGGGCAATCATTTCGCAGGGCCTTCAGCATGAGCTTACTACGCTGTTCTTCAATTTGTTGGATCAGACTAAGGCATGTGGTATGGGAGACTTCTGGGCAATCATCTACCATCGTCACTTCAATGGGTCCTTCTAGTGGGTGATGTATATTGCACTCATTGTCCTCCCATGCGACCTTACATCCCAATAACCGTGTACACAAGCCCATTGCCACTATGGGTTGCACGTTCGGGTTAGGGCTCAGCAACGTACCTACGGTATTCATTCTTAAGTCATAGGCCTTCCCAGACGCTAACTTAACAGTCACCGCCCTGGCACTCTTGTACTCATGTGGACCAGCGAATCTCAGGTTGTGACTTGCTCCCCCGTCCACGAGTCCACGGGGTTTGTCCTCAGAGATTCCTTTCAGTGACGCTGTCAAGCAAATCGCCTCTGGCTCAAGCTGCAGGTTGGGGGTACACAAGGAGTTAAGCTGGGCATCAGCGCCTCCCTCATTGGCATCAGGGCTTATTTCTACCTTCTTTGCCTTAGGGGGCTTCTTAGGGCTAGGGGTGTTAGCCTTCGGATCTACCTGAGGGCTTCCCGCCTTACTCTTACCCGTATTGTGCCCCTTACTATCCCCTTTAGCAGCAGGAATCGCTCCCTTAGGACGAGTGCATTCCGCAGCTCCATGCTCAACCGATCCACAGTTGAAACACTTTCCGTCCGCAGGCGCCAGGGACGGATGTGGATGAATACAGGGCTTTCCATACCTGCATCCGGCATCGGACATGAAGAACTTACAGCTCCCTTCCGCAGTTAACGGGCCCCCCTCACCCTTATTTCTACCACCCTTATTGCCCCCTTTAGCCTTACCTGCAGGAGGTTTCGCTGGGCTGTCGTGAGCGGTTGCTGGATCCTGGTTCATCGTAGCAACTCGAGGATGTTTAGCTGGCTCACCCCCGGCGGAAGCAGCGATCATCCAAGCCTCTGCTTCTGCCAGCAGCAATTGGCAATATTGCAAGACACTCGTTTCATTTGGTATTGCATCAAGTTGATACTGGTGGCGGAACGTAGCAAGACGGAACGCTATGTGCGGGGACTTGTTTCCAATGGTCTTGCCTAGCCCGTCTAGTGCTCTTACGAGTAGTGTGGGGTCTGGCGGGGCGAGTCCTAGCTCGACGCAGCGCCTATACAGACGCTCCCATTTACGCAACGCCGCATGGTTTGACTGTACCCCATTTCCTCCCTCTAATTGTGGTTGCGTTAAAAATGAGAGGATTGCAGATTTCTCGCCAGTTCCTCCCGGTTGATACTTGGTCATAGCGAGGAATAAAAGAGATACAGTTCCTAATGCCCGTACGCTTACTGCTTCGCTTTGCAGGGTAGGAGGAAACGCCTGAAGCACAAGAACTGACCCTCTTTCTTCCACTCTTCGTAGATGCCCATACTCAAGCGTTGCGCCCTGTGCTACCACATCCGACTTGATCGCAAGACGTTGAAGCGAATCTGACTTCAGCCACTGTTGGTAGTACTCCGTTGCAGTACTAACTACTTGAGACCACCATCCCGGGGCGCCTGGACTAAGACTGCGCATTAAGGGTCCTATCCTTGCCATCCAATCTCCCGTAGTCACGCTGGCCTCGGCTGAGCCCTCGATGACTTCTAAAAGGGGCAAATTTTGTACCAGTTTGGATGGCTCCTCGGATTTATCGGGTGTCCCTATACCCCACGGTGATGCGGGGGGAGCCGGTATTGGTGAAGGAGGCAAAGGCACCATGGTTGTTGGTCCAAAGGATACCCTGGGCGGTGTCGCTGGAGGTGGACCGTCCGGCACTCTGGTACCCCCTGGCGTATATGCTGCACCTCCACTAGTTCCAACCCTAGGGGTCCTAGGGGTGTTGGCAGGTTCGCTATCTTCTTTACTGAACCCCAACCCACTGACAAAGGGAGTCTTAGCTTTCGGCGACAGGATATCTATCAGCGGTGGAAAAGCAGTACCAGTCATTGCGCTTGGACCTGTGGTGACGGGCACTGGATCAAGGTCAATAAGGGATAATGCGTGCGGTTGCTGCGGTGGCGCTGCATGCGCCTCCCACCCGCGACTCCGTATCACGGGCATGGCAGGCTCAGGGACATAGGGGTTATGAGATGCTGCAGGCAATTTAGGGACAGGTTCAAGCCGTGGTCTCATTGTACCCTCAAACCCTGAAGAACCTATCCACTCTCCTAACAAGTCCTTATCCCAAACCTTAAGGTTCCCTGGGTTATAGTCTTGTTGCCTGGGCTCACCTGTCAACCCCGGCGGAATTGCGAACCTGCTCAAACTCTCAACCCCTCTACACCCACTCCTGGCACCGGCATGCAAAGCTCCATCGGTGATTGCACAAGGGCTAGGTCTGGGCTCTATGCTTGCAAAGGGGTCCGGCAAATTAAAGTTACCTCGACATCCCAAATGCGGTCCCTCAGGGTGGCGGGGTGTACTAGGGGCCTGCGGAAAGGGTTGAGGACTTATGGGAACATAGGGAGCGGAATCTCTCTCACGAAGAGACCCTTGAGGAAGGTTGCCAAGTGAAGCTACATCTGCCCGGCCTGGAAAACCAACCCCTACACCCCTAAGATCCCTCATATCTCCATCCTCTCTACTTAGGCCCTGTGGCTCTACTGCCCTGTACATATCGGCGTTCAAACCTGCTTTGTACAAATCTCCTACCCTACGACTACTTGAAGCTACATGTTGGTCAGCTGTGGACATGGGCCCTGTCGGCCCTTCAAGCGCCGAATGCAAAGTGCTGGTTGACCTGGACCTTTCAGCCCGCTCTAACCTCTGAAGAATGGCCATCATGAAGGGATCCGCAGCCTGATTTCCATGCTGAGCCAAGTGAATCAGCTCAGTCGCAGGAAGAGTTGCCGCTGCACTCACCTGTGCGCCAGAATTCAAGCCTGGCGGTTGCCATCCCATCTCGGGCGCACGAGACCTTTCCAGAAGTTGCTGTAGTCTCACCAAATCGTCTATCGCCTTCCTGTCAGGCTCAAGAGCTCGGCCTTCTGAACCAGAGTGTCTGCCATCTGCCGAACTCCTTCCCAAATCAGCTTGTAGCGGACCAGGTCCAGCCCTGGAAGCCTCACTGCTCACAGGGGTCTCTTTTCCATCTGGCAATCCCAGCAGCAGCATATTTTCAGAGTAGCCTCCGGAGGCACCGGAACTATCTCCAGCAGCCAAGTCGAAATGCTCCGGGCCACTCCTCGGTAGCCTATCTGCAGTTTCGTACGGCGGCTCATCTCCAGAAACAGGCAAGTTGCTAGGTCGCATGTGCTTCAACAACAGCTCACGGTTTGCTTTTTCTGACCACCAAACATTTCCCTGGGCCTGCGCTGGTGAAGATCTTGGATCTCCCAAGTCTGCTCCACCAGTTGCGGCTCTATCCTCTAGGTTAGAGCTCGAAGGTGGTTGGTCTCCCAAGTTCGGATTCGGAAGACCATCATAAGTATCTCCAGCCTCTTGGCCTTCAAGCGGAATATCGGCAGGGTGTTCCCCTCCCTGGAAACGTCGGCGAAAGAAGTCCATAACCCAATGCCCACACTTCCAAAAAAGGGATCTATGCAGTGATCGGGCTCATGACCTGTGGAAAGACCATGGCTGGAGATGATGTAAACGCTCAGACTCTCCTTTTCAACCGCAGCAAGAACGAAATGTCTAGAGTATCTTCATAGCTCTGTATGATGGCCATGAATGATGTCTGCCTACGATTAGCCAAAAGCTCTTAAGGCTACGACTTTAAAAATCGTGTAAGGGCCTGGGGATGGAGATAACTGGCTATACAACCCTCCTAAAACCCCAAAGACCACAGCCTGAGCAGCTGATCGCAGTGGAATGTGCATGTCCTGGACAGATACAGATGGGGCAAGCACAACCCTAAACCCTAAACCCTAAACCCTAAACCCTAAGCCCTAAACCCTAAACCCTAAACCCTAAACCCTGAGTTTGGGGGGGGGGGGGGGCTCAGAACTGGGGCCTCCCGCCGGTACCCTTTCGTTGGCGAATTCTGGGGTTTGGGGTTTAGGGTTTGGGGTTTAGGGTTTAGGCTTTGGGGTTTAGGGTTTAGGGTTTGGGGTTTAGGGATTGGGGTTTAGGGTTTAGGGTTTAGGGAAGAGGAGAGGCCCTACAAGTGTTGTACGACAGCTCACAGTCGAGGTCCGGGTCCAACCAGATGGACATCAACTGGGCGCGAGCCTGAGTTTGTTCGGGGTTCAGGGTTTAGGGTTTAGGGTTTGGGGTTTGGGGTTGAAAGGTTAAAGGGTTTAGGGTTTAGGGTTTAGCGTTTAGGGTTTAGGGTTTAGGGTTTAGGGTTTAGGGTTTCGGGGCTTGGAGTCGGCCCTTAATTAGGGATGTCTCAAGGTTCTGGGCTTTTGGCCCAAGACCTAAAACCCCCTGGTTCTTCCTAGTAGGGAATGAGGTTGTATATACCCTTTAAGGGATTATATAGGGTACCGAATTCCCTCTCTTCCTAAGAAGAACCAGCCAGCTAAACCCTACGTAGGGCTTAGGGTTGAGGATTCCCCCTAAACCCTCAAGCCGAACACTGAGGTCAAACGCATTTTGAGCTTGATGTCCTCAGTGTTGAAGCAGTCATCAAGAAATTTACGGAGGTAGCTGTTTTTTTGCTTAATTGCCAGGGTTTGGGATGTTCCTCATAACCGGGGGTACTAATCCCTATTAAGGACTGGTAGTATAAGGGGGAACATCCCAACCTAAAACCCTAAACCCTAAACCCGAAGCCCTAAACCCTAAACGCCCCCCCCCCCCCCCCCCCCCCCCCCCCCCCCCCCCCCCCCCCCCCCCCCCCCCCCCCCCCCCCCCCACCCCAAAAAGAGACCAACGGGGAACATCCCAAACTAGGGCCTATAAGGTTTTTGGAGGGGTTGGGGTCTGAGACTCCTAGGGTCGCCAAACTTTTAAGAGTCCAAGACCTAACGAAGCAGGGAGGATTTGCGGGTGCCCCTTTGGGAGGATTTGTTGCCCCTGCGTTTTGTTGGGGTTTAGGGTTTAGGGTTTAGGGTTTAGGGTTTAGGGTTTAGGGTTCAGGGTTCAGGGTTCAGGGTTTAGGGTTGATATCGCCTCGCCGGGAGGGGCAGGGTGCGGAGGGTCTTAGGGGGGTAGGGTTGAGGGATTCGGAGGCACCACGTCCCACCAAACCTGGGGGTCTAGGATGTAGTTTAGGGTTCAGGGCTTAGGGTTTAGGGTTTATGAGGCCCTTTAGGGTTTAGGGTTTAGGGTTTAGGGTTTAGGGTTTAGGGCTCATGGCTTAGGGTTTAGGGTTTGGGGGCTCTTTGTGTCGTTGTGCGCGTCTTTGTCATTGTACTTGATCCTCGATGCATGCCGAGTTTGTTGATGTTTGTCAAGCAAGCCCAGTGGCTACAGTAAACTCCAGAAAGTTTGAACATGGTTTAAGGATGATTAAAGCTGGGATTGCCTTTAGTATGCCTTTTGGGGTTTGGGGATGAGGATGTTCAAACTTTTGGAGTTTACTGTAGGCCTTGCAGGTCTTGGTTTGTGTAAACGGCGTTCAGTCTGACGGCCGCATTCTAGTGAAGTAGTGCAGTGCTCGAAAAGTTGGTACAGCGTCTTGCCTTACTAGACAAAGTTTCAGCTTCTAAGGAAGCAGCATGAGGCAAAGGCTGTGCTTTGTGATGGCCAGAAGACTAAGCTTGAATCCTACATCTTAAACCCTAAACCCAAGGAAGCTCCACGTCCCAAAACCATGAGCCCTAAATATTCATGAAACAATCTGAAGTGTGGATGGCTGCAATTAAGGGAAGTAGTTTCTCCCACAGAGAGGAAGTCTGAAAGGTGCACTTCAACCATCCAAAGCCCTAAACCCTAAACCCTACACCCCAAACCCCAAACCCCAAACCCCAAACCCGAAACCCCAAACCCCAAACCCCAAACCCCAAACCCCAAACCCCAAACCCCAAACCCCAAACCCCGAACCCAGAAACCCTAAACCCTAAACCCTATTGTAAACCCTGAAATCCCAAACCAGCACTTAAAGACTGCCAGGTGGACTTCAACTATCCCCCCCCCCCCCCCCCCCCCCCCCTCCAAACCCTAAACCCTGAGCCCTGAGCCCTAAACCGTAAACCCCTAAACCCCTAAACCCCTAACCCCTAAACCCTAAACCCTAAACCCTAAACCCTAAACCCTAAACCCTAAACCCAAGGTGGACTTCAACTATCCCCCGCTCCTGCGCCTGATACACTTCAACATTGACGAGCTGCCCTCGGCTCTGACAGGTGGCTCTTTGGCTTGGGGTTTAGGGTTTAGGGTTTAGGGTTTAGGGTTTAGGGTTTAGGATTTAGGTTTAGGGTTTAGGGTTTAGGGTTTAGGGTTTAGGGTTTAGGGTTTAGGGTTTAGGGTTTAGGGTGTAGGGTTTAGGGTTTAGGGTTTAGGGTTTAGGGCTTAGGGCTTAGAGGTTTCGAGTTTAGGGTTCAGGGTTTGGGGTTCGGTTTCCAGATCGCTTGGGGTACTTTTCCTGTATCTTCATTGCTAGTTAGGCCGCTTAGGGTTTAGGGTTTAGGGTTTAGGGTTTAGGGTTGAGGGTTGAGGGTTTAGGGTTTAGGGTTTAGGGGGCTTCAACTGATGCTCGTTTTTTCCTCGCCCTAAACTCTAAAACCCGAAACTCTAAACCGCAAACCCTAAACCCTAAACCCCAAACCCTGAACCCCCCAGCAATCCCTCATTACCCCTAGGAAACCCAGTTCCGTGCACGTGAATCCCCAGACCGGGCGGGCCTGAAGCCTAGACCTTAACATGCCTACAAGCCGCATGGCAAAATCTTTGAAGGTTTGGGGTTTGGGGTTTAGGGTTTGGGGTTTGGGGTTTGGGGTTTAGGGTTTAGGGTTTGGGGTTTGGGGTTTAGGGTTTAGGGTTGGGGGTTTGGGGTTTAGGGCTTAGGGTTTGGGGTTCGTCCGCATAGGCCCCGGCGCGGGTTAAGTGCGCAGGTCTCGTGCGGTGCTTCAACGTCTCCTTTCAGCTGACGACCTACACTTGCCCTGCCCTCTGTTGGGATTCTGCACCCTCAACCCTAAACCCGAAACCCAAAACCCAAAACCCTAAACCCTAAACCCTGAACCAGAATTTCGCGGTTGGGCTATTTCTTGGGATTCCGTTGCTCGATCATGGGACAGGGTTCGGGCCTGGGAGTGGGGCGCGCCCGTGGCTGAGGGCAGGGCTTCGTAAGCCCACGAACGCCCTGAAACCCTAAACCCTAAATCCTGAGTTAGAGCCTAAAGCCTAGCTGAAAACCCTAAACCCGAAACCGCTTTCAAAAGGGCCTGAGTGGCCCGGCAGCTTCAATGAAGGTGCCATCAGCCTCATCAACACGCTGATCCTGATCGCCAGCGTCCAGGCCCCTCGTCTCCGCGCGCCCTCGTAGACCCTCTGCTACAACCCTGCACCCTGAACCTGGATTACGTCCTATAAACCCTGAGCCCTGACTTAACCCCTAAACCCGAACCCTAAGTTAGGGTTTTGGGAGTTTGGGGTTTGCGTAGGCCAGGGCTTGCGAACTGATTAGCTTCGGGGGTCGGACGGCCGCCATGGCCGCGTAAACCCTTTGGACCCTCACCCGCAACCCGAAGACACCCTAAACCAAGCTGCTCTTTTCCGAAGTTTGGGAGGGGGGTTCTGACTCTCCGCGAATCCTCGTATTTGGGAGGTTGTTCTATATTTGAGGGGGGGTCCATATTATCGTAAGTTCTCATATGCTTTAAGAGTCTGTAGGGTTTAGGGGTTAGGGTTTAGGGTTTAGGGTTTAGGGTTTAGGGTTTAGGGTTTAGGGTTTAGGGTTTAGGGGAGGGCCCTCGCAATCCCCCCACAAGCCCCAGACGCCGCCAGTCCATTAGGCGCCCTTTCGATGGCTGTACCGGCCTCGGGATGCAACACCGGGTTTAGGGTTTAGGGTTTAGGGTTTAGGGTTTAGGGTTAAGGGTTAAGGGTTAAGGGTCAGGGTTTAGGGTTTAAACCCTAAACTCCTAAACCCTAAGCCCCAAGCCCCAAATTCCTACGAAACCCAAAGCCCCTAAACCCCTAAGCCCCCTGTGGGTATAGGTAGCTAGGGCTTACGGGATCTTTGGGGTTAGGGGTTTAGCAGTTTCGGGGTGCAAGGATTTTGGGGTGTTGGGCTTTATGGTGAGAATAGAAATGGACGAGGCTTAGGATTCCGGGTGTGACGTGTTTAGCGTTGTGGGTTCAGCGCCAGATGGTGTTTCTGCGGAAAGCCTTAACTCTGCCCGCGCAGCGAGCGGTCGCCAGAAGTTCGCACGCACAGATCCCGAATCCCGCCTCAACCCTAAACCCTAAACCCTAAACCCTAAACCCTAAACCCTAAACCCTAAACCCTAAACCCTAAACCCTAAACCCTCATCCCAACACTTGCTAGGACCTGGTCGGACCTTGGGGGCGTTCGACGGTTTAGGGTTTAGGGCTCAGGGTTCAGGGTTCAGGGTTTAGGGTTTAGGGTTTAGGGTTTAGGGTTTAGGGTTTAGGTTTCACAGCATCTTTGTCAC